ATTTGGGCAAGTTTTAGTTATTGTTATGAGAACACTCGATGCTGTTACTACTGCTAACTGCTGCTGCTACTGCTGCTGCTGACAGTGTTGACAACAAGGCGAAGCGACAATATCAGTTATTGAAAGTTTCCTTTTTTTTTTTTCATCTCGGTTTACTGCTCAGTTGTTTGCTGCTGACAGCCTTTGGGTAGCAAACTTCGGGCAGAGCACAGCAACAACAGTTGCCGGGGAAAAGCTCTTGTTTTGCGCAAAAGTTTGTTGCAATTTGAAAGCTTTGTTGACTGCAAGAACCAGGCTAAAATCGAAAGACACGAATTAGCCATGCTCCAGCTGACCTGAGCCCTTAAGAGCAACTGAAATGTGGCAACAATGTTATGTCGGGGCATGTGGGGTCGGTTGTTTCAATTAAAGGTAGTGAAAAAGCGGCAACAATGTGAATAAAGCGCTGTTGTCGCACTTCAGTGAAATATGGCAACAGTGTGATGCTTGGCAGGTTATGCTTTGACTTGATACTGACTCTTGCGTCTTAGCGGGTGTTGTTGCCTGATTATTTTGGTCACTTTACAACTGTTATCTGAAGATCAAGTGAAGTGCGACAACAGTGTAAGCTAAAAACGACAACGACGCATTATAATGACAGTTGGCAACACCTTTTATCTGCATCGAATGTTGTCTAGTTAACATATTCATTGTGAATATCTGGAATGCGCTGTTGCCGCACTTCTCTGGCCACTTCAAGCAAGCGCCTCAATAAAATGCAAGAGTTAAATGTGGCAACAGTGTAACGCAATGTGAAGACTTCCGGCACTGTTGTCGCCTTTCAGTGAAATGTGGCAACACTCTCTGACCTAAAGCTGCATCAAGTGCGGACATCATGTACAGGTACAGCCTAAATGCCTAAAAAACGCTGTTGCCGCATTTCTTCAGCGTGAAGTGGCTTGAAAAAAGTGTAAGTTTGACAACAATGGAATGTTTTTCGAGCGATGAAATGCACTTTGGCTCACAAAAGCTGTGCTTCATGCTGTAGACTGTACGTCTTTGAGCCGCTTGTCAAGCGCGGTTGCCGCACTTCACAGAGCAGAACGCGCGACGCCATTTTGAATGCGCCGTCCGTTGAAAAACAAAGGGGTTGCGACTTTTTATCTGTTTATCTGCCGCACTTGAGTTTGTCAAAAGCAATTGTTTGACTTGGCTCGCAGACACAGGCTGAACAGCGGGCCAGCTGGCCAGCTGGAACAAAGAACGACCGTCAGGCGCAACTGACCAAAGCGGGCAGCTGAGGAGGTCGATGGTGCAAGGGTTTTGGCTCGTCAAAACAACAACAAGAGCAACGTGCACACATTTTGAGGGCATTTGCTGCGCATCGCTGACCACAAATAACCAAGCTGTGTTTATTTCCGTGCCCCATTCTGTGGCTCACACAACAACATCGTGCAGCATTTCATGTATTTGCCGTTTGCCCTTTTGGCCCCGAACGCGTCAGGAACTGCTGCTCCGGCTGCTCCGGCTGCTGCCCCCTAGACCCTAGACGCAGTCTGTTGAGTTCGCTGGGACATTGAGTTATGTTCTGGCAACTCGTGTGTGCCCCAAGGAAATGCAACTCCAGCAGCAGTCGTGGCATGTGCGTAATGACAAATACTCGGGCGCAGCAAGTGGATGCGCCGCGCCCCTTCAACTGCCCCCAACTGACCCATTGTGTAATTGCATACGGCATTTTGATCCTGACAATAGCTGTTAAATTTACAGGCTTGCCCACTCACATTTACATCTGACGCATTGAAGACGAAGAAGAAGTTGAAGAAAATTAAGAGGCGCTTACAAGAGCTGCAACAGGAAAGTGGAACTTGGAGGTGGAACTTGATGGTGGAAAGTAAAAGTGAAGCTTAAAAAGTGTCAATTGGAATACTTGAAGGTGGAATTTGAGGCTATCAAAGAGGTTTACGGTAGAAGTGGAATTTGTTGGGAAATCTTACAGGTGGAGCTTGGGCTAATTGGGTCTCGGAGCTGGAACCTAGTGAAATTGGGTCTTGGAGGTGGAATTGGAAGTGGAATCTTTAGGTGAAATGTAAAAGTGAAGATTAAAAATTTAAAATTGGAATACAACAAGTGAAATGTGGCAACGCTGCAACATAGCTTGCATGTGAAATGTGTCAAGTCGCCGTCTTATAAGCTGACAAATGCACTGCAAATGCCAGAAACTAAAAGTTGTTCATCTCTTCGGTCAAGCAGTTTAACCAGCAGCCAGCAAGAGTCATCATCATAATCATTATGAACGTTTCCACCATCATCATTATAATTATCATCGTTATCAGCAGGCGTTATCACGGCTGCAACTGCTGACAGCTGGCTGGCAAATGTCCCAAATGGCCAACTGGTCGAATGGCTCAGTCTGGGTATTAAGTGCGAGTGGCAGATAAATGGAGTCGACGACAGTGGATAAGCCGTGACATTACCCAACCTAATCCCCGCCCAGCCTACCCGCTTCCCGCTTCCCGCTCCCCGCTCTCTGCACCGTGCTCCTAATCATGCCACTTGATTGCTAAGCAGCATTATGCCATTTATTGCCACAACAAGCTCCACGAAAGGATCGCAGGATTGCAGCGCTGCCAGGCAAAATACTCAGTTCTTGGCAAAGTTTGCGCTCGCTTCACTCAGCCCGTCTCATCCCATCTCCTCTCCACTCCACTCCACTCCACTCCACTCCACTCCTCTCCTCTCCTCTCGACTCTCTGCTGTGGCCTTTTCTCTGCTCTCATTCGCATTCATGAAGCTGCACACAATATGCTAAACACTTCCAGCAGCAGCAGCACCAGCAGCCAATGCAATCATAATTTTAACTACTTTAGTTTTATGCTTGCCCCACCCACACGCCCTTGCCACACCACCCACGCCCACACACTCTCTCTGCACCCTTTACACACCCTCCTGCACTTAGTTCTATTATCGCAGCGCTTTGTTTGGCCTTCTTTTGCTCCTTTCTGCTAATTTCGCGCGTCCACACTGAAAAGCAATGGGTAAAATGCTTTGGAAAACTTGCGCAAAAAGGCGAAATGAAAATGAAAATATAAATTCGCTTTGTGGTGTGTGTGTGTGTGTCTGTGTGTGTGTGTGCGTGCAGCACACTGTACAAAATGACGAGCAAAGCGCCTTTAAAGATAATACCCAGGCAAAAAAAAACACACACAAGAGTGCCCTAGTCGGGCGTGCCTGACTGCGAAATACCCTGCACTCAGCGCTGAGCTGCAAACATATATATCTCAAGTTCAAGTCTCATTCTTAAAATACGTCCAATTAATACATAAGGGTCTTCTACAGGTCGGGTAAAATTTAGTTAATTGGGCAAAATTGTATTCCTCGGAATTTTCTTAAATTATAAAATGATCTTTGTCATTTCCGAGATCCACCCGAGATCACACGGACAGGCAGACTGAAGGACAGACAGACTGAAGGACATGACAGGATCGACCCAGCTCGTGTCGATCAGGATGGGTTCGCAGATGCCTTCCTTAGCCTGTCGCAGACCTTTGCACAAAGCCATAACACCCTTTTAACGCTTTTCAATAGGGTCAGAGGAAAAAGAAACAAGAAAAAGGGGAGAAAAACTTTTGCAAATGACATCGATAAATGCAGTTAAAATCGATTTTAAAGACAATTTTAGCAATTTCTGGCCAACAACTGCACTAGCCAAGGGAATTTAAACTAAACCGAGATAGAGATATATCTGTGTGCGAGAGAGAGGGAGAGAAAGAGAGAGGGAGAGCAGAGCAGGCAGCAGCATAATTCAATTCCTGCCTGCCCAGCGCTTTTTGTGGCTTCATTAGCGCCTTTAAGGGCCGAGACTAAAAGGCTGCCGTCCACCAGAATCCCTTCCCAAATCGCTGCCGAGCAAATCCGCAACCAAATCCAACACCGAAACCGAATCAAAACGAAACGTTGGCCTGGCCAAATGCAAAGCCAGCGCCAAAGGCGTAGCCAAAGCCAAAGGACCTCGACGCAATCAAGGCAAATGGATTTTAATTAATTTTGCCGGTCTGCACAATTTTTAATTAAGAAACTTGAAACGTCGCTCGATGCATTTAGCCAAATGCAGCTGCAACGGCAACTGCAGCTCCAGCTGCATATGCAACTGCAAAATCCGAAACAAAAGCCCAGCTGCAAGGCTTCTTCTCAATGCATTTTCCCCAAATTCCTTTGCCAGCTCTGGTTAGGCTCTTATTTGGCCGTTTCGAATGTGGTCGACATGCTGCCGGACAAATATTCCTTTGTTCTTATGTACTCCAATAAGAGTCCATTGTAACAAGGTGGCAACGCTCAGCAGGGCGCCAGTGTTGGACAATCAACAAAGGCAATGATGCACGGAAATTCGGTTAATATCAGAGCTACAGCTTTTGTTCCTGCAAATGAAAACTCTCAGTGGATGAAATGAGATAAAATAAAATGAAATGAAATAAGATGAAAAGAGATTAGTTTAGAATGAATGAGATAGAAGAGAAGAGAAGAGAGAAGAGAGAAGAGAGAAGAGAGAAGAGAGAAGAGAGAAGAGAGAAGAGAGAAGAGAGAAGAGAGAAGAGAAAAGAGAAAAGAGAAAAGTGAAAAGAGAAAAGAGAAAAGAGAAAAGAGAAAAGAGAAAAGAGAAAAGAGAAAAGAGAAAAGAGAATAGAGAAAAGAGAGAAGAGAGAAGATAATTAAATGTTATCATATCATTCGATTTGATATAAGACTATATGATATATAAGATGAGATAGGATATGATAACATGAGATAAAATAAGATAAGGTAAGGTTCACTAAAACCAATTATCATAAGATACGCTATAAGATATATAGAATAAAATAAAAGATGCAAGATCTAAAATACAAGATAGGATAAGTTCAATTTTCTTCAACTTTATGGATGCCAAGTATTTAAAAGTTAGCTTTAGAGAAGTTTGACTGTATTTGCCTTTGAATGGACTTCAGAGTTTAACGCGATGTTTCGCTTTTGTCTTTTGGAACTTTCAGTGCTGGACTGCCAGGTGGGCGAGTGGGCGGCGTGGAGCGAGTGCGACAAGAGCTGCGGACCTGGAATGATGACGCGCACGCGCCAAATCCTGCAGGCGGCCCAAAACGGCGGCAAGCATTGCCCCTCGCTGCTCCAGAAGCGCGCCTGCCAGGGCTATCGCTGTCACGGCCATCGCGATAAGAAGATTTTGCGCGGTAAGTCCAACACACACACACGCACACGCACACACACGCATAATGCAGCTGAATAAAGAGCGCCTATCTGCATGCCTTTACACCTGTAACTGTATCTGTAAATGCGTGTGTGCCGCTTTTAATGAAATGCACTTTTAATTAAAAATATCCGGCCTGACACTGCCCACTGTCCGCTTACCTCAACCCTACCCCCGCTTCCCCCGTTCGACAGGTGAGAACAACAGCTGAGTCGGCAATTGTTGCAGCTGAGCTCCTGCACCTGCCCGTGCACCTGTACCTGCACCTGCACCTGTCCCTGCCCCGTTAATTAAAATGGCGTATTGCCAGCCAGCAAAAATTGCAAATCCCCAACTGGAAATGCGACGGAGACTTCGCAGGATCGAACCCCATCGATCTCCCAAGCCGGGTACGCAGATAAACATTAGCTAAATCGAATAATTAATTAATCCCAATATTCTAAAGCCAGGTTAAGATGCCCAAGAATAGTATCAATAAATTAGCTTATAAAGTTCGATGTATCCATAGCATAATACATCTATATATAACTATCTATATAGATCTATATCTATATAGAGATCGAAGATTCCCATTTACACGCATCTGGCAGCCAGTTTAAGCTCGTGAACCGTACTCTCCTGTCAAAGGGGCTTATTCCATATTCCATATTCCATTTACCATTTACCATTCTCCATGGCACATTTGTTAAGAATGTTGATATGTTGATCCACTTAGTAAGCACTTGGCTCTCATTGTTAGCGTCCCGGCATATGCAGCGCAAATATTTTACACCCATTGTAATACCACGTGCGCTAGAGCAAACCTTATGGGGTTGCTTCTACCTTTAATAACATTCTTTCATTCTTCCCCTTTTGACATACCTTTAATATATTTTTGAGATCTATTTTAAGACGCTTCCCATCTAAAAGTCCTCTTTGAAATGTTTCTCATTTAAGAGTTTAAAACCGCTCTTTAAACCGTGCTTAAGCCCCCCTTGAAACCTGCCTAAAAGCCCCTTGAAACACCTTTAAAACTTGTTTAAGATCTCTTTGAATACCCCGTCTTTGATTGAAAGTCCTTCAAAACCTCTTGAAACCTCATTGAAACCTCTTTAAAGCATTTGAAAGTTCAAAAGAACGCTCTTAAATCTTCGATAAGCCACATAGTTTTCAAGAAGCATCCACCTTCTTAGAAACTCGTGGCTCGAGGGTATTTAAGCGTCGTGCCCGCTCAGCCATTAAAATTGCCCCGACTGTTGCATTGACAGAACTTGCGATGCAAAAAGCTTTTTCACCTAAACGCCCGGCAAAATGTGGAGCAAGCTAAGTCGCTTGAGGGATGGCTCGTGGGACGGGTGAGGTGGGAGGGGGACGGTGAGAGGGAGGGATCCACTGATGCTGATGCACTTGTACTTGGGCCGCGGGCCGCGTGGCGCGGGGGCATCTCTCCGGCAGATGCATCTGTCAGCTTTCGCTCGGTGAAGCTGAAGCTGAAACTTTTTTCCCCATTCTTTTTTTTTTTTTTTATTCTATTTTTCTTTTTTGTTGAATGCCGCTCAGGACATAAGAAAAACTGACAGCGTTAAAAGCGCCCAGCTGCATAAGCAGTCGACGCACGTGAAAGAACGTAAGTTCCAGTATCTGCCCAGCCCTCCCCCTACCCCTCCCACGCCCCCTACCACTCCCCTCATCAGGCCCCCTTTCGGCTAACCCCGCGCTGCCCTTTGGCCTGGCATGCAGAGCCAAAGCAATTTTCTGCAAGTGGCTGACATAAAAGCCATATTATATTTGGCTAAGTGTCGCCGCCGGCACACACACACACACACACACACACACACACACACACACACACACACACACACACACACACACACACGCCCACACACACGCCCACATTCACGCCCCAATCCCAGGCCAGAAGAAGTGCAGCAAACAAAATACTACAAAAAAATAAAGCGGAGAAGAAGAAGAAGCTGCAGTGACAAAAACAAAAAAAAAAACTATTAAAAATCGCAGCACAAGTTTTTGTTTATGTTTTGGGTCGCCTGCGCTCCATTAGCCTCGGACGTGCCTGTCGCACAGGCTTCACTTGCAGGCTGACCACACTCCCTCCCCCCCTCCCCCCCAACCCCCACTCCCCGCTCACTGTTGCCGCTCTTTGGATTTAGTTGTCCTTGTGGTTTTGCCATCCGCTGTCCGCTCTTTAAGCGTTTAATTAAAACTTTGATTGCAGCCATTAAAAAATTGTTTAACTGTATGCATAACGAGCACACACAGCAGCAGTTCCACATGTCACAAGCATCAATGGAGCTGTAGGTGTGTAGGTGTGTGTGTGTGTGGGTGTGGGTGATAGCATAAAGGATTAAATTAACGACAGCTTAGCCACTAAAGCACACACCATAAAAATGGCACAACTATATTAAGAAATAGAAAAAGCTTTCAAATCACATTAAAGATTTATTGAGATATATAAAAGTGCTTTCAAAGCATATGAAAGCTGTATTGAGAAACTAAAAAGAACATTGAAAACATATTAAAGCTTTATAGACAAAAATTTTGAGCTTTCAAAGCTTATTAAAACCTTAACGAGCCTTTTTGAAGACAATGCATGCACTTTAATCAACCCAAAGTTGGCAAAAGAACTTTGAAAGTAGCTTAAAGCTTTATAGCCTAAGAAAAGGGAGCTTTCTTAGCGCATCAAAGCTTTATGCTGGCCTTTTTGAAGACAATTCATGCAATTTCATCAACTCAATGTCAAGCAAAAGTTAAGAAATTTTCTTTACTCTTTAAAAAAACAAAAGCAGAGCCGTTCGCTGTGCCTTTTTTAAGCTTTGATATTTTAATAATAATAAGAAGGAAGCTAGAATGATTGTAATGATAGATTAGTGCTGGGTCCAGAGTATCTCCTAGTCGGGCTATTGACGAAATTTTATTAGTTACTTATAGCCTTATTATTATTTTTTACAATATTTTTCATTTTTGTTGGGAATAATAATCAAGAGAATGCGACGCTTTTCCTTAAGGAACAACATATTGCACATATTTTACATACTTAACATTTGCAACTAATTTGGTTATTTGCTCCCAATAATTCGTATTTGTCACAAAACATCGTATTTTTTTGGTTATTAGTCGAAAAAGGGAAATTGTAAACATCGCAAAGTTTCAAAAATATAACGATGAGCAAAAATTCCAAAAACAACAAGTTGAATGTGGCTTGTTTTTTTTTAAAGCTTAGCATTTATATTTTATGCAGGCGCCATTTTACTTGTTAGACTTTACAGCAGAATGAGTAGCCTTGTTAATATTCACATAAGTTTTCGCATTATGTTGTTGCCATAATAACAGTACAATTGAAATAATGCAAACAAAATGTAAAAAAAAATGTGAGTCCAAGTATGTTAGTAATTAATAATGGATATTGCGGCCACGCTGAAAAGTAGGCAACACTTTTGCGCTGTGACAAGAGCGAAGAATAAATGTGTAAGTGGTAATTAAAACAAAAGCACACACACACACACACACGCACACATGCACGGATGTGAATTAAATGCTTTTAATACAGTTTTAAGCCGTTTATAGTGTTAAGCATGTGTGTGTGTGTGTCTGTGTGTGTGTCTGTGTGTCTGTGTGTGTGTCTGTCACTGCGCTTGTTTATCTTGCAAATTGCTGTCAGCTATTGGCGGGCAAACTCTTTGGCTTTGGGCTTTAGCCGGTTGCCAGCGTCACAGGCAATTATAGAGCATTAAAATGTCGATTAGAGCTGGACAGGATCACAGCCAGACAGAGACAGCGACTGACAGACAGACAGTGTGCGAGTGCGAGAGAGAGAGAGAGAAAGAAAGAAGCTGGAAGCAAGGGATTGAGCAGCTGGGCTATCGGGGTCAAACATGACTGCAAATTCGCAATTTAAGCAAGGAAAAATCAAATGCAAAATAAGGCAAAAGCAGCGCGAACAGGCAATTCTGCTCGAACCGGGAGTGAACGACTAGAAAATACCCTCGACCCAACCAAAGTATAGAGTATACATATGCACACATGCATACGATCCATCCGATTCAAGAATGCGAGGGTTAAACCAAATGTGAAATGACTTGAATCTATTTAGACTAAACGCGCACAGACATGATTGCGATACACATAATTATCGATAACATAAAAAAGATGGCAAGTTATCGACAATTGCCATCGAACTTGCTCTGCGCGGTCAGAAGCTACGTTTAAAATTGGAAATCTGTAGCTCATCTAGTTCATGCGACAGCTGCCGCTGCCTGTCACATACTCACGCAAGGCACCATTATACCCTTCTAGCAATTATCAATGGCTACAGGGCATAAAAAGCAAATGCAGCAGCGAAAAAATGCGAAGCTGGATCAAAGCAAATGGCAAAATTAATAAAGGAAACTGCACAAAAGCCAAGCGGAAATTGCGGAGCTGAGCTCGTGACGAGCTTCCAGCTGTTGCATATTGTTGCAACAGCAACAACAACAGCGACAACAACAACATTAACAGCCACAACAACTCCCATAAATACGTGCAATTTGTATTAGGTAATTGGCCAGGCCGCAAATTCAATTTACGTCAACGCAGACTCAGGCCAAGACACAAACGAAGACGCTGAGCGAGAGGCAAAATGGGAGACAGAGCGAGGGGCGTGGCGTCGTTAAGTGTGCTATTAAAAATTGTGTAATGCCAAGTTAATTGCTAACAAACGAGCGCCAACCAAATGCATGTGTAAGTGTGTGTGTGCTGAAGTTTGCGGCTCTGCGCCTTTTTTTGGCATGTGTGTAATAATTAAGGTAAACAAACGCGCCCGCCCACGCTCACGCCCACACACACACACACAACACACACACACTCACAACACAAGCACATGCCACACACACGCACCTTTGAGTTATGTGGGGTGGGCGTGACACAATGCCCAGTGCCACATACAGGTGAGAAATGCTCTGAATTCAGTTACTTACACTGAGCGCCATCTATCGGTGAGTAGCTGGAAATAATGAGAACATATCAAGCGCAAGAGTTTTCTTTATGTTTTATGTTTATCTATAAATATTAAAAGGTGCTAAAATTCCTATTAAGTGTAAGTTGAAAGCTTTTGGCAAAAGCTAAGATTTAATTAAGTAAATTTTATGCAAACAGCTAAAATTTGCACCTACTTGTAAAAATACAATCAACGAATTATAAATGAAAAAAAGAACTAAACAAATTCCACATACCATAAGG